AAAAAAAGAAATTCATATTTTATATCTCTAAAACAAATTCAAGACAAATCACGATTTTTAAAAAAAATAATATATAAAAAATTTCTTTCAAATAATAGTGAAATTATGTCTATTTAAAAAAATAATATATTTTAAAATCAATTAGAAATGATTATTAAAATTTTGGAATTATATTCTCTTGTACCTATTATTTTGGAATCTCAATATGCAACAATTGCTAATGCAGTTTACTTATGATGTCGAATGCAAAAAATTTCTTATACAATTTATGATGACTTTCAAAATTATATTATATCTCAAATTAAATATCGTTGGCAAAAGATTTATAATCTAGTATTTTTAATTAGCTGGTTATTATATCCAAAATATTTTTAGCAAAAGTTATTTGTCTAGAACTTTTAACTTTTGTTAAAAAAGAAGCTAGTACTTTATTTAGCCGATTATTTCTAGATAAAGATATTTTAAAATTTCAGATACAACTTATTAACTGGAACAACAAAGCTTATCCATTTAATTTTGAAAGAAATTGGGATGATTATTTAGTTAAGGATCCTGTTTATTTCTAGAATAATTTTATCAATGAAGTTCCAGAATTAGCAATATTTGCAGCATAGCTTATGTCAATACTACCTACATCTGCTGATAGTAAACGATTTTGGTTATTAATGGCAGGTATTTATACTTTAAAACATAATAGATTAACAAATGATCAAGCAACAAAACTTTCTTGTATCCGATTACATATTTCTCAAAACAAAAATATTTTAAACTGCATTAAGAAAAATATCAACAAATAGACAAACAAATACTAATACTACTAATGATTCAGATATAGCCTATAATTTGGAAACAGATTTTATTACTGAAGATGAATTTTATACTCTTTAGCATTTAGAGCAACAACTAGAAAATCCTGAAAAAACTTTATTAACAATGATTAAAAATTTTGATAGATTTAATATATATGATCAAGTTTCTTATAATTAAATTATTGAAGAAGATAGTACTTGGTCTTTTAATCAAATTGAGTATAGCACAGCACTAGAGGATTTGTTTCTTCTTAAAAAATTAGATAACATTTCTTTGAATTTTTAATTTTTTTGATTCGATTTAATTTTTTTTTTATTGAGTAAATTTTTTTTAGAACATTTTATTTTTAGCAACATGCAAATTTTTTTAACAAATTTTTTGATTAATTATTATTTTTTAAATAATTATAAGCAAATTAGTTTTTTTGTACAAATATAATAAATTATATCATATATATATATTGCATATATACAATATAAGCCTTAAATTCTAAGTTATTATTACTTATTTAAAATAATATTAAATAATATTAAATAATCATATATAATCAATTTAGCCTATTACTATTCATCATCTTCTATAATCATATATCTTTAAATCTTAATAACTTATTAACTATTAACCTGATTGATGAATAGTAAAAACTACACTAAAGAAATATTAAGAATTCTATTAGTGGAATCAGATTTGTACTACAATTAGAAGTTATACAGAGTTACTTAATAAAAATTTAAAAAATACTAATATACTGCTAATATAACAATATATTTAAGCTAGAACTTAAGCATGCATTTAGAGAGTGTATATACTTATAGAGGATGCACTTAGAGAGGTCTAACTGTAATTAATAAATTTATCTAAAAAATATATAATTATATATTTTTTAGGTGCTGAATTCATTTCAATTAAAATTAAAATATGTTATCTTAATAAAATTTTAAGTAATTTTATTTTATTTAATTGTTCAAAATTGTTCAAGATTGTCTAAAGTATTGTTCAAAGCTGTTCTATGACAACACTAGCTTTACCCTAAAAGAAGCAAGAATATTTTGTTACACAAAACTATAATAGAAAAAAAGATCACTTTTAAAAAAAAAAACAAATATATTTTTAGGAAAGACATAAATAGAAACTTGTTTTGTACCTATTAAATATCTATTAAAACCAAAATATTTTTTAATGAGAACTATAACTATGTTTTGATAAAATATGATTTGCTCAGGAAATAGTTAAATATATAACTTGCAATAATATATAATTTTGTTATTTTGATATCTAATTTTTTTGTAAATTACAAGCTTTTTTTAAAAAAAAAACTTTTAGAAAGTTAATATTTATTTACTATTGAAATTCTCAATATTTTAGCTAATTTTTTAGTAGTTGCTTGGCTTTGAGATTTTATATCTAAGTATTTATTTATCAAATTTAAAAGTAATTAAAGAACTTTATATCTAATTTCAGATTTATAACTTTGACAAAATACATATGCTAGATCTTAACAATTAATAAATTTTTAATTTAAATTCTAGTGATATAATTAAATAAAATTGTATATAGTCAGATTTTGATATAATCACTAGGTTGATAAACAAAATTTTGGTGATTATAAAAAGTTGTAACTATATAAAGATCAAAATTTATAAGTTTTATAATAGCAAGGTCAAAAAAATAGTGTAATTATAACAAAGTTGTAATTATATTGAGAGTGACTATAATGAGATCTGACTGTAATTAGTTAATAATCATTAATGTAACAAAGTCAAATTTATATAATATATCAAATAAAAACAAATCTGTATATATGGCAAATTATTTTATTGAAAATTAACAGAGTATAGAATCAATTTTTTAATTACATAATTTTCTAATATAATATAAAAAAGTTTATTTATATTAGAGTTTGAGTCAGGGTTTAGTTTAAGGTTTAGATTTAAAAGCTATTATATAGTAAAATTATACAAGAAAAATTTTTTGTTAAAATCAAAAAGGTAATTTACTAGTCTATATTTTGTAATAAATATAAATTTTGCAAAGCAAATATTTGTTTTAATATTTTTTATATCATACCTAATCTTAGTTTTTAATTAGCTAACTGTTATTAAAAAATTACATAAACAAAAAATTAATTCTATACCCTGGTATTGTTTATTGAATTGTATATTTATACTATACATATATATAATAATAAATTTAAAATAAGTTATCTAAATTGTACAAAAATTCAAATCAGTTGTGATAATAAAAAAAATAAGCTAAACCTACAAGAAAATAAATTAGAAGCATTGTTATAGATTGAAGTACTACAGTCAGACTTCTCTAAGTGCACGCCCTTGGGACCACACTTTAATAACATGCAGATAGAGAATAATAAGAAAAAGTGCATTTATGGAGGTCAAGTATATATTTGGGCCGGAACTTGAGCGTGCATTTAGAGAGTGTATGCACTTATAGAGGATGCACTTAGAGAGGTCTGACTGTATATGCTTAGGATCGATCGAACGATCGAACATGTGATTGTAACCGGGCCTGTCACATGTTCGATCGGGTGAATAGATTCGAGACAAAAACTGCCTCGATACTTACGTATCGAACAGCTACTTAATATAAAATGTATAACCTTATTTTGAAAAGCTCGTGCGCAATTCGAATCTCGATCAAATAGATATATTCGGTAAACATGCTTTGGGCATTCTTCACTTTCATTATTACTTCGTTAATTCCGTGATTGTTGAAATTCTAAAATGGTAATATAAACCATTATTACGTAACTTTATTTTCTCAATAATTCACGTAATGTGAGTGATATTAGATCACGTGATCCGAAAGAGAATCAGCCACACGACAGCCTCAACCTCCAGCCTCGAGATGCCTCCACATGTGAAGAATAAAACTGCGTGGGAAATTCAAACGTATGCATGGATAACGCATGTCAATGGCATATGCATTGGCACAAACCAAGCAAGAACAGGAATGGGCGTTGAAAGAAATCAAGTACTGAAGTAAGCATAAGCACTGACCAGCCAGTGATCGAACCAAAAAATTCTCGCGATCCACCCCAGACAAAGAACACGTGGTTCTGTTGTTTCTTCGCTCAGCCACACCCACGGCGACTCCTAGTGCAATCACGATTGCCACTTTCGCGAGTGGTCGTTGCCGTTCCGTCCAACTAGGCCAATTGCTCATGTATTCTGCTAACTTTCAATAGAAAATCATCCCGGCCCTTAATCCAAACAGACAGACGTCGTGTAACGTAATTCTTTTCGATCTTATTAAACTATTTTTCAATCAAGTGCCAAATAAGTATCAGCGCGATTGTGATTTGGATAATCAATAACAATAACGATAACGGTAATAGATTTTAATCTCCAAAAAAATATATCGATATGATTTTCAATGAACAACCTATTTTCATTCATCCGCAATTTTTACGCTAAGCGGTAATAATGAAAGTTAACTTCTTTTAATGCTGTAATGTGAACTCAAATGTTTTCATGCTAAATCACCTCATTTAAAGTTGTTTATCTAATAAATGGGTAAATCGTAAAAATGGTATTTCCATCTTTCAAAATTCAATATTGTTTCTTTTATGATAAACCAATTGTATTTATATTTTGAGACTGCTTACATTAATTTTTACGTAATTGCTTACCATTGTCATAATAAACTACCTATAGAGGAACTCTAACTAGTCAATTAAATTCTAACATTCTCGACCTTCGTTTTGCATGTGACTAATTAATGTTTGATAAATTAGTGTTAATCGATCCTGTTCAACAGTATGTAAATTTTACTTACCTTTTTACTAACGGAAACCAATGTAAATGTAAATTTAATTTAGTTCATTGATCACGAATCATCCTTGTTACAGGAGAATATTATTTTCGCTTTGTACAATGTCTTGATGTTCCAAAGTTGCAAGACAATCCAAGATTATGTCACAGAAATTATCTGTGAAAATCCAAAACCGTTTTTTTTTTAAACTTGTGAGGAGAGAAGATACGGATACCGTATGTTTCCGAAAATAAGATACCTCCAAAAGAAGCTACCCCCTTTCTCCTGGAGCAAAAACATAAGAAACACCTTTGTTCCGAAAATAAGCTACCCTTTTTTGGCAAAAAAGGTAGCTTATTTTCGGAAACATACAGTAATAAATTGATATGTGGAAAATATTCTGTGAAATGGACAACAGCTCAATCTATTTCTTCCTCTAAGGCAGGTGTTACTAATTGGAAAGAGAATGTTTTGCAATACCTAGATTCATTTATGGCACATTTTAATTTCATGAAATATCTCGCGAAGAATTTTATCATCTTATAAAAAGTTCTCGTTCACAAACTTTCAGAGTTGCCTTCACGTTGTGGATCTATTAGTATCATAAACGAAAGGGGTAAAGCTTCAGTCATTACTAATTGAATTTCTTTTGCTAGGAACCTTTTTATCAATTTAAACTTATATGCAACACGTGACGGATTTAATTACAATGCGTTATGAATCAAAGTAGTGAACACAGTTCTTGGATTAATTAAAATCAAGGATTCAAAAAAAAAATAATAATTGGTAGATATAACTCAGTGTTTAATAGGTAAGTTGCTATTATTTCAATTGTTAATTTTATAATTGTGTTTATTTATATAATTATTTTCCTACGTTTGTAAATTTTTCTTTTGAAGATGGTGAAGGCTCTAATAGCTCTATCTTAAAACTGTCTCTTATGCAATATATAGTGGATCTTGATGAATTTTGAATATTTTGATTGATATAAATAGTTAGAATAGGTCCTGCACACAAAAACACTATGAAAATTAAGATTTTAGACACCAATATCTTTATTGTCGAAGAATTAGAGACTTCTATCATGCAAAAATTATTAGTCCTGTTTATTTTCATGTTTAAATTTTATTTTACAATGTTTTATAAATTTTTTCTAACAAACCGTAATAATATCTAAACTTTTTCATTTGCTGCTTTTCATAATTTTCATTTTATCTTATTGTCTTATACTTTCTTTGCAAGAACCTTTGATTTTGCTAAATACAATCAGACCCCCTAAATGCAACCCCCTAAGTGCACGTCCTATGAAAAGCCTCCCTAAATGCACGTCTTCTCTTGGGCCTAACTAATATTACGCCTATAGATTTTTACCTCCCTGAATGCAATGCCTCTCTAAGTGCACGTTTGGCTAAATTTTTATATATGGTCTCGTCGCATTGCATTTAAAGAGGTCTGAATGTATATTTACTATATAATAAAATATAATAAAAATATAATTAAAATATAATTAAATTTTTTTTATTCTGTTAAGTTACTATTAACAATCTTTTTATCATATTGTTAAGATATTAGTAATACATTTATTGTAAAACGCACCTATAGTGGTTTTGCACCTATTATGTTTTATTATGTTTTTTTAGAATTTTATAAATTTTGAATATAAAAATTTTCAACACAAAATTTTCATGTTGGTATTTAAAACTAGGGTTATGGTTAGGGTTTGGGAGAGGGCTTTTAGGAGCGTAGAGCATCTTGCATAGATTAATTTGCTAGTTTTTAAGATAATACATACATAGATATAATACCATAGTTGCGTTTTAGTAAGTCTTAGTAATATTATTTAGTTATTTTAAACAGATCGCTATTATATTATTAAAATATTATATTTATTAGATTGTTGTTAGATAATTAAAAGGTAATATTCATAAGATTTTAAGATTGCTAACCAATAAAAATTTTTGTATTACACTATTACCAATGAAAGTTTATACTACATTAGCACAGGATAACCAACAATTAGAATTAAAGTATAACAGCATATTTATTGAAAATAATGGGCATTGTGCGTAATTTAGGGCAAGTCAATATACGTAAATTAGAATGGTATAGGAAATTCTGAAAAGTAAGCAATGAATTAAAGAGATTTTTTTTGATTTTTGAACCGAAGGATTATAAAATTATATCAAACTGGAAATAACACCTTCACTTTAACTTTAAAAAAAACAAATCCTATTTTTTGAACATTTATATGGCATAAATAATAAAATTGTAAAAATTCAGTATAAGCAAACATTTTTCTACTATAAAAAAAAAAAAAATTCTCACTATATTTTTATAATTATGCTTTCAATGATACGCAGCTATAAAGTTATTCATGTGCAAGCACAGGACACAAACTAGTGATTTTTAAATAGGTATTTCAAAGGCTTTCCCACACTCAAATCACATTTTTTGGATTTGGTCGATCAAAACGTTAAAGTGCATGAACCCAAATTAAAATCGTACTTTTTTTTTATAAAAAACTTATTTCATAAACCTGTAAATTGGATTATTTTTCTTATTTCTGTATTTATATCAATACGAAGTCACAAGTTTATTAATTATTAAATTATCGTAGTATAAGTTTAATCGATGAAGAACATGCATGAATCAAACTTAGTAATCGATACAAAACACTACAAAAATTTCGCATCACAAATGTGAAAAAGCTGTAATATCCGATTATTATAGATGTGGGTTTTCTTTTGAGACATCCACCTTAAATCCAAGTGTAATTATAATTTTATACAAACTAAGTAAACAAATTTATTTGAATAGATATATGAAAATACAGAACAGATACCCTATAAAAAAGTTTGTACAGTTATTATAGGCATTGTCCAAAAAAAAGGTCGGAACGGAGTCGATTTTCTGAAGAGTGTTTCATAAAGTTTGTACGGGATGTAAAAAATATAAATTTTTTGATTGAAAATTATCGTATAAAAAACGCAATCATCCAATAAACATCCTCTAAATGTTCGAAACAGAGTTGATTTTTTTTTTTTTATTATTAATATAATGTCATAGTAGAAACTTTATTACAAAAAAACCTAAATTAATCTAAAGACTAATAGTCTTCTCATTTTTAGACTAAATTTGAGTGAGGGGTCAGATAAATCGTTTGATCAGGCTGACGAATCCCTTCAACCTAGCAATAGCTAAGTTAGAGAAGGTATGGCTTTTAGGAAGGATTCCTATGATTAAAGATTTCTATCTACATTTGTGCTACAAAAGCACCCAATGTGACATTACACCCCCTATTTCCTATTTAAATACTATATTAGTTTTACTAAGTAAAATAATTCTAGCTAGGATAGGTTGGAGAAAACCCTTTGGTGATAATCATGGTGTTATAAAAAGTATGTTAGTAGGGAAAATCCTTGTAAATACCATTTTTCAATAGCGTTATATGTATTGATTGGATAAGAATAAGATGTATTTATATTATTTTAGTTATGGGTTAGTGGTGAAGTTATTTTGGTACGTTTAACTTTTTGTGTAATGTTGCGAGCTAGTTCCCATTGATGTTGTGGAGAATTTCGTTGGAATCATATTTTCTGGTAAAACCAGTTTAAGAAATTGTTGGAAAGATTAGTAAGGAACAGGTCAGTTTGTTTTTTAAGTAGAGTTTTGATATTATGATATATTGGGTTAGAATATATTCCAAGAATAGTGGAAAGAAGAAAATCAGGTTAGATAATAAAAGAATATTGTATAAGAAGTAAAAGAAAATTAAGAAGGATAGTAGATGAGATTTAAAGTTGAAGTTGATGGAGTATATTATTAGTTATATTAATAAGTAATTGTTGGATATTATCTGTATTTTTAGAGTATAGAAGTATATGAAGAGTGTCTTCGGTTAAAGAACATTTGCAATACTTATTTGTTGTATATAGATTTGAATAACAGATATTAAGATTTTGCATTGTTAGAAGATTATCTGTTAGGATTTTGATATAGAAAGAGTATTTGAAGAAGTCATATTCTAGAGAGTTAAGAATTTTAAAGGCTAAATTTCAGTTTATATTTAAGGTATAATTGTTAAAAAATTTAAATGAGGACCAGGATATAAGTTCTTTGATAGTAATAATATTTTTGATGAAAGAGTATATTTTGAAAGTATGATATAATTGTTCTAGAAGAAATAGGTGGGAAGATTAAAATATATATAAGAAATTTCAAGAATAGGTTTATCTGAACCTTGTTTGGATAATAGATTAGCCTGGTTGTGAATAGAATTTTTTGAATGTGATTTAACTTTAACAGGAATAATAGTAATATTTTTGGTTGATCTAATAGAATTAATAATTGTGACTATATTCTAGTTTTTGTTTTGAATAAGTTTTGGAAATGAGAGATTATGTAAATTGTTAATTGCTGCTAGGTTGTTAATAAGAATAGTAATTGTAGAGTTAATTGGTAAAACTAAGAGGAGAGAGATAACTGCACTTAGTTTGGAATGGGATGAGTTTGGGAAGAGGTAAGTTGCTACATTAAATTTAATAGATAAATCATTTTCACAGATTCAGCCAATGCTAAATTGTATATTTGGAGTTTGAAGATTTTTGATAGAGGTATCGGTATAAAACCAAAATCTAAGTTTAGAATATTGTTATATATTTGAGTTAATAGATTTTGATAATAGGGGGTTTTAATTATGTGACGTATCAATTGTATTTCTCGGGAGAGAATATGTATTTGAGGTTGTTATAAGCTGGTGGTTGGGGTTAGGTTTAAATATGAGGTAATTTCGGCTATAGCAGTTATTTCTTTAAAGTCTATTTGTAGATAGGATTTGTTGGATTTTATTTGCTTATATGGGAGATTTATAGATTTGAAGTTGGATAAAGAATTGAAGATTTCTATTAAGTTTATTTGTTCAGTAGGTGTTTCGTTTGTTTGATTGATTTTGTATAAGAGTATATGCTAAGAGTTAGAGTATCGAATAAAGATTCTATTTTGGTCGATAGAGAAGATTTGAAAAGGGAAATTTGTATTTGAAGGAAGTATAAAATCAGTTGTATTAATAAAACAGTTTGTTGAAGATAAGTTAAAATATAGCCATATAAATTGTAGAGAGCTGTTTTGTATTATTTGTGAAAGACAAGTAAACTATGCAGATTGATGGCCTTTGGTTGCTTTGTTTGTTCGAAGATAAATGTTGTTCCAGGGCAGGAGAGATTTGTTGTTTGCAGTTGTGATTTGTTCTATAAATAAAATTTTGTTGTTTTTAAG